ATAATGATCATAAAAAAAACTGCAAATAGAATGTGCATCCCTTAAAACGAATAGTAAAAATAATATTACTTACAATGCTTTTAAAGGGTTGCACTTTCTATAATCATTTCAAGGAATAATAAAAATTACTTAACTTAAAATAATATAACTATTTCTTCTTTCAAATGTTTAATACTTGTAAAAGTATTCATTTGACATTGTGGGTTTACCTATAATGCGAAGAGATGGCGCTGCCTTGCAGCTTAAGAATAGCTAGAAGGAATTTCGACGCGGTCCGTGAGGGCCGCGGTAGCATAATTGGTCAGTGCATTCGCCCGGATTGCGAAGGGTGAGGTCAGTGCATTCGCCCGGATTGCGAAGGGTGCGGGTTCGAGTCCCGTCTGCTGCCTGGTCCGCGTGGAATTTTTTCTAGTTATATTTTCTTTAGATTTAAACATCAAGCAGTTACATGCTTTAAAAATAATAAAAATTATAATAATAAAAACTTAATATAACAATGTAGATAAGTGGGTATTTAAATACATTCTTTAGTAAAAATAACATTGCGCTCAAGGGAGAGATTATGCAATACAATAAGCGGACAATAAGCAATAACTCGAAAAGTTCATTTGCTGCAATGCCGATGCCGCAACGCGGTGGGCGGGGCTTTCCGATGACTAACAATAACTTCGATTAAATATTAAAACATGTCTTTTTAATCATTAAATTACTGTTAAATTGTGCTACATAACTTGAAATTTGTTAACAAACACGTTGCTTCACAATCACGGCATATAAAAAACAGAATTATTCCTTAACAATAATATTATATTCTGTAACGGCCATATTGATCTATATTTATTGCACATTTTTTGTATTTAAGGAACTTAATGAGATAAGGTTAATGCTGTATTCAATGTATGGGTTGATTGTCTAGTCGTTGTTTAGTATGACTAACCCTTATTAATGACTATATCGCAAAATGACTACAAATGATAACGTCTCGATCTTTAATTGACTACATCGCATAATGCCTAAGATCGCAAGATGATTAGATCTTTATTTGACCCCATGAAATAACCTTTAGATAGTAAAATGTCTACATCTTTATTTGACCAAATATTACAATGTCTAGGTCGCAAAATGACTAGATATCTTATTTGTCTAGTTTGTGTTTTGTTACATAAATGTACAGTCAAATTAAAGTACACGATTGCGGAAAATAACATTTATATATGTATTACCATTACGTAACTTAAAACCTAAGATATAATTTTTAAACTAAATATTTCCTTATCTATAAAATAAAAACTAAAATTCTTATTACTTTATAGACGACACAACACAACAAGTTGTATCATTATCCTTATCTACACGCGGCGAGTTTACAAGCTGCTAGCGAACTCGCTGGCTTGTTGCTTGTAAACTCGGCCCGTGTCATCGCGGCTTTACTTTGGGCCTAGGATTATTCAAATTCCTTTAGCATTCACAGGACCGATTCACACTGGATCTAGAAAAACAAACAGCTACACGTGCTACGTTATGTTATTATAATTTATACTAGTCTACCCCGCGAACTTTGTTGCACCATATTTTATTTTGTTTATACAGAGTGGTCCAACTAGTGACATCAACAAATTTTTTTTAGATTCCTCGCACCTAGGGGTTTCCGAAAATACCCCATGTATGTTCCGCAATTTTTCTTAGTTTTGGAGTTATAAATTTTTTTGTGTACTCTTTTTTGTATTTTTGTATTGAATTTGATTAAATCCTACTAAAGTTTCAACTTTCAAGCCTTTTTTGAGTAACTTTAAGTAATTGCAGGAAGCTGAGTTATTTTTTTATAAAAACAACATTCAAGACCATTATGTCACAAAAAAAAGACTGCAAAATACCAACTTCGAAAAAAGATAAGAACTTTTGAAACCTCGCTGGCAGAAATCATTAAAAATACACAAAAAAAAAACTCGAAAACTAAGAACAATCGCGGAACATACATGGGATATTTTCGGATATCCCCAGGTACGAGGAATCTAAAAAAAAATTGTTGACGTCACTAGTTGAACCACCCTGTATAGAGCAAAAACGGTAACAAACTCGTTTGTGGTATGGTGACCCCCTAAAATATTTATTTATTCTATTTTTCAATATTTGTTACAATATCTGTGAAAATTGCAACTGTCTAGCTATCACGGTTCATGAGATACAGCCTGGTGACATACATTTTGCCATTCATTTTTATTTATAGAGATTTTATACTTTTTGCGACCTAATCATTGTAAAATGTGGTCAAATTTAGATGTAGTCATTTTAAGATCTAGTCATTATTTCATGTGGTCAAAAAAAGATCTAGTCATTTTGCGATCTTAGGTATTATGCGATGTAGTCTATTAAAGATCTAGACGAAATTATATGTAGTCATTTTGCGATATAGTCATTGGTTAGTCACACTGCGACTAGACAATCTGAGATCAACTCTGTGGGTTTTCCCTGAGAAATAGACATATACCATCGCAAACTTATTTGTTAACCTTTTCAAAGTGTACAATACTGTAGTACATTATTTTAATCTATCTCGTAGGGTTCAGCCAGCGTTTGCATATAAGCGCAAAAGTGTATATTTACGACATCACACTAGAAACTTCAAAAATTTTATCCATGTATCTCTAATATATTATGCATGTTTTATTCATATACACCATCCTCTTGAATCACATTGTCTTTTTAAAAATCTGTTGCGTAGTTTTAAAGATCTAAGCATACGTAGCAACGGAAAGACAGCGAAATGCGACTTTTTTCTATAGTATGTACTTAGTGATTAGTATATTTATATAAGTACCTGTATTTATTATTTTTTGCTTCTTATTGAAATGATATATATCTTACTAGATATCTAGAAGTACCGAAATGCAATCGGAACTTTTGTAGAACTATTAATTGTATTTTTTTATTTGGAGCTCTTGGTAAATACCATCGAACTCGCACTACAGAAATATTATATTCCAGTTTCAATTTTGAAACTGATGGTAGTTTACGGTAGTTAGGGACAAATAAATGAACTCGAAATTATATAAAAAAAATAACTACTTATTAATTAAATTAGCAAATAAATTTATACATAAACAATAAAGTTTTAAAAATCTTCCAATGAAATATCCGAATGCTCAATAAAAGTCTTTGAAGGTACCTCGAAAAAGTAAATAAAATCATAATTCATCGTCTAAACTCTGTACTCCTACTACAGAATTATTATATTTCACTACTCACTGCGACCTAGCTGCTATCTGTAAACATCAATGTCACTTAATTTCATTTGAAATTGGTAACTATTTTATAAGTTTGCAGTGTCCACTTAAGGCTTACTTACAATAGCACGGATTTTCTGTTCAGGCATGTTTCATTACCGTTATAGGGCGTATATATTTAAGAATAACCTTCTCTTGATGATTTAGCGCTTTCTAGTTCTAATAGTTTTTCGTTACGCTGGGAATGTAAGTATTTGCATGGCAAAATTTTAACGGATATCATAGGGTTCTGGATCTATATTTGGACATTGACATTGCCCCCAGGCACTATGTTAAATAAGATACACTTATTTTATATATAAAACGTAAAATGATGAACATAATATAGGTGGTCTTCATTATATTTTATTATTGGGTGTTATTTAAATGGATGGCAAAGAAATCGTATTCTTGTTAGCAAAAATTTTTAATAGGTTAGCTAAAATATTTAGTTGGGCAGCAACTTTAAGTTTCCTTTTTCCCTTTATTGGCGCCCACTTTTGACGAACATTGTTGATTTTCAATTAAAACGCAATTTTATGCTTACCAAAATTTAAATATGCACACTAATCAAATATTCTGCTTAAAGAAACGTTTTCTCTGCCAATTTGCTGCCAAAATAATTCTTTTGCATTGTGACCGTTTATTTTGCAGATAAGTACATACTATAACAATCTGCCTACATAGTTTCAATAACTAACCATTATCATGATTATTTACGGAACAAGAATTGCACCCTGATTTTTATCACTGCTAACAATATCTTTGTATGCTGGCTAAATCATTTTTGGGCTGCTTTTTGTGCTAAGCAAAATTTTTCTTTCTCATTATTATTATAAAGAGAGGTAGGGAGTAGCGGATTTCCTGCTCTAATTGGAGCGCCCGCCTGGGGAACTAACCTCCAACTCACAAGAGACCAGAGTAAAATAACACTTCCTTTAGTTACGTTCCTGTCGGTTAGTATGGTTCCAGGGCTCCACGGGGTAGGGGTCTTGGGTCAGGGTAGGCAATGATAGTGATAATATTTGTATCGCAAGCATCTATGGGCCTTGTGGCCGCTTACCACTAGGCGGGCAATATGCTTGTTTCCCGCCCTTTTATGAGCCCTTTCACATTTTTTGCAATAAATTGCAATTTTTGAGCGCCTCGTTTACCCCATTTTGACTATTTCCAAATAGAAGTAAATAGTATATTTATTCTTCCTTTTGTAATTTAATGTAGAATATTTGCAAATACTATTTTCCTTTTTTTGTACTGATCGTTCTACTGCAGCTAGTTTACGGAAAAAACGATAATATGCACAACTTCAAACGCCTCAGTCTCTTAATAATGTTCAATAAATTAGATCAAATTTATAACTACGACATCAGAAATATGTTTCTGTTGTAACATAATGTATTAGAATCTTGATTGTTCGTCTCATTAATTATCAAAAAAAAACTGACTTCCGTGAGTTTTCCCAAAAAATAATGCAGGTTTACCTCGTATTTTTAACGTTCAAAAACTTTCATAAAACTAATCTACTGTCATTGTACTACTGAAATATGTATACATTTTATAATTAGTTTATTAACAATTATTTTATAAGACTCGAAACATCACCCGTAAAATGCAATATAAAATATACTAGTGCAAATCTACCTACGCGCCGATCAGTACGGCAGCGGCGCAATTTTGTAAAAGGGCTCTTAACATAAAGAAATATGCTTCATCTTTCAAAAGACATTGATTTTTCAGGAAAATTATCAGCCTGAAGTGTGGTGAGGAAACTAGGCTTTTTCGAAAGCAACAAGAAATGATGAGAGCTCATCAAGGTCATCGAAATGACCGGTCCTCTGACACAGACGTCTCTTCGGGAGACGGTCCAGGCGCCATCGGCTGACACTTATTACACACACGCATTCTGCTTTTCCTACATTTGAATAGGAATTCTGTAAGATGCAATCTCACATACTGGCTGCTGCATCAAATACGGGCTGCTTGGACAGACATTTTGCCGTATAACGGAGTAAAGCATATCAAACTAATGTTTAAACATTAAAATGACAGCTAAACGACAAATAGAAATCGAAAATGAAATTTTAATTAACAGAATCGCCCTACTACGCGACGAAGCTTCGGGTGGCCTTGGTAATAAATGCGCTAAATAATTAGTACTATCTTAGAAAGCGGGCTGCATGTCTGTTCTATGGACGCTAAACGATAGCTTGACTGGTAGTCCAGTCACTTTAGGGTTTCACCTCGGAATTTGAGATAATAAGCTGGAAACTCGTTCACAGCTTCATTTTGGCGTTCTAAAATTTGTCTCAAAAGACTCGTATTATCTCGTGTCTGCGTCGTAAGTTATTCGAGGACAAAGGTCACGAAAATCGGTTGTTTGCAATTATCTCCCTTTATATGGTTCCAATGATTTCAACACCTATTATAAAAAATAAAGATAAAAAATTGCCGCAACTTGTCCAACTTATTTTCTATACGCTCAACCCTTTTCGAGATGGAGGGCGGAGAGCACCCAGCGCTCAGGCATATATATACTTTAATACAAGGTCTACCGTGAATCTCGGTGAATAATACCTTGTATATTCGATAATAGATTGAAAATAAATAGATAGATAGATTTTAAATAGAAATAAATCAAGTAAATATAATTTAATTTATTTTTTATTTAGTAGCTGTACTTTTATTACAACTAAAATCAAAAACAAATCTACATTTAAATTCTTCAAAAATCTCAATTTTAAAAACATAAAAATAATTTTTTATTCTTCTTATTCTTCCTTATCATCTCTTGGGAAATTGAAAATTTCAATTTCATCTTCTTCAATAACTGTATACAAGGTATTATTCACCGAGATTCAAGGTTGACCTTGTATTACAGTATTATATGCCCGAGCGCTGGGTGCTCTCCGCCCTCTAATCCCTCTATCTCGAAAAGGGTTGAGCACACAGAAAAAAAGTTGAGACAAAAGTTGTGTGTTTTTTTTAATCTTTATTTTTCATATTAGGTGTTGAAGTGATTGGAACCATAGAAACGGAGATAATTGCAAAAAATTGCGATTTTCGTGACCTTCAACCTCGAATAACTTACGACGCAGACACGAGATAATATGAGACTTTTGAGACAACTTTTAGAACGCCAAAATGAAGATGTACACGAGTTCCCAGCTTATTATCTCAAATTCCAAGATTGACCTCTTTTTTCCCCTGAAGTGACTGGACTATGGCGATAACTGTACTCAAGTAAAGTTCAACACTTAGTTGTCATTCTGTAAAAAATTCCATAAAGAGGTTGTGAAAAACGAAACATTTGTATGTGCAGCTGAAGGAGCGTACTTTATTGGAAACTCGAATGCTAATTTTAACGCATTTTAGTACCAAAACCAACCGAAGCTTAGTCGTGCAGGTGTGGGATAAGCATTCACACACATCGCTTACACGCAGCTCAGACTCAGACATCTAAGTACTGGTATTTTTCTAGTCTAAGTATGCAAAGGAATGAAAACAGCCGAACGGATTTCATTGCTACATCATCTGATTTTTTATTAAATACCTTTTTTTTAAGATCTTGATGTAGACTCATCATCATTGACCTATCTATGGAAAATGTACTTACATAACTGTATATCGTTGTGTGTTTATAATTTCGTTTAAAGATAAATATTTTATCTTTTGATACCACGTGAAACAAATCCAAAAAAAAAACAAATTGTAATAAAGACTTGGGTTCATTTATTGCTTGAAAAATTTTATGGCTCACAGTCCCCTATGCTTTCTTCATATAAAATGTAAAGTTACAATGACAAACTATGCAGATAGTTACTCCTTATGACTAAAATAAAATGACCAATTTCATGGGTTGACATTCTAAGTATAAAATAAAGTATACTTAGAATCACTCTATGTACTAATGTATATAATTATTATGTGTAATTAGGTGCCTGATAATGTGACGGATCAATAATCTAAGTATCTACATAAATTTACTTTTGACGGATGCTTAACTAGATAATAAGAAATAATTTGATAATTATGTTTTTGTTAAAAAAAGGAAAAGTTAATGCACAACAAATGAAATAAACCTATTGTTTACCTATTTGAACTTCTTGTTGACGATATTCGTATGTTTAAACTTTAACATTATTGGATTGAATTTATATAATAATTAATTATTATGATGACAATGACTTTCTTATGACTATATTTATAAGTACCAAGTTTAGTATTATTTTATAAATTGTCAGTAAGTTCCATTATTGTAATAAAATATTTATGAACATCAGCATAGTTTCATTTTATACACCTACATGAAGTACCTACGAAATGACTGAATACAATGCAATAATAGGCGGTTTTATCCCTAATAGCGATCTCGTCCAGACAACCTTAGGATGGCGAGGACAAGAAAGAAGCTTTAAGACGGCGTTATGATTAACTTAACAAATCAACATTAAAACTAATACTTACAAAAAATATGTACAAAATAATTATATAAAACAATACACATATACTTATATACATACATACGAAAATATGTATACATATGTCTAATTCAGTCAGTGGAAATCGGTAACAATGGAAGGGTTACAAGGACATAGTTACAGAGCGATCTAACTAAGTTTTTGAAAATTTTAAGAGTTTTCGCACGTCTTATGGAAACTGGTAGAGCATTCCTTAAGCGAACAGCTTGTAATGCGAAAGAACGGCCATAAAAAATGTACAGTGAACAGTAGTAATGAGAGCGAGATTTTCTGATGACCTAAGTGATAATGTGTTCCAAGTGTGAAATAAATCAAAATATTCCTTGAGATAGGTTGGATAAAGTATTGAACATTTCGTTATGGAGAAGAGTAAAGGTGGTTAGCTAGTTCGACATGCGACCGTAGAAGTTAAGCAACTTTCGCAATGGTCGGTCATTGGATGATCACTAAAAAATTAGTATCTCGAGTTCCTTCGTGCTTCGGAGGGCACTTGAAGCCGTTGGTCCCGGCTGCATCTGCAGTCGTTAGTACCCACCAATCTAAATTGGGCCCGCATGGCGGGTCATTGCCCAATCTCACTATTCAATCCATAGGGAAGGCCTGTGCCCCGGCAGTGGGGACATTAATAGGAATCCAAAAATTCAGATTTGTCAGCTATTCAATCGAGAACATTCGCGATATTCTCAGGACCTCCAGTAAAATGACTAGATTACTGTAGACATAGAATAGATACATAGATACAATTACGCAAAATCGAAAATAAACATGATAAAGATGAGAATTAATAGGCTGGTGAAAATGATACAGATCAACTCGGAAAGGGATCAATACCGACTCGCCTTTCGGCTTACTGTCAGAGGAGCGTCCACCTAACGTAAGCTGATAAGTAGTTTCACTATGTTTGGATATGCTATGGCTAGACGACGCTAGGACTCGCCAACTGCTGGTTGGCGGCTAGGCGCCACAAGTGCAGTCATGCTCACAGAAAGTAACCACTCTGTTTTATGAGTTGGCTGAGTGCGGAATTGCCCCAATGCGAAAAAGTTCCAGTGCGAGAAGGGACAAAGTGTGGAATGGGCCCAGTGTGAATGGATCCATTGCAGAATGGGACCAATGGGCTCAGTGCGGACACTCCCTTTCCATCACACACACTCTTGTTCCACTTCCAGTCCATCACTCACCAAACAAAAATTATAAACCAAGTCCACAATTACCGCCGTCAGTGGTCACCCCTCCTCGCTGCCGTATTAGCTACCTGCCTAGCTAGCAGTCTAGCTAGTTGCCTAGGTAGCAGCCCAGCTAGCTGCCTAGCTAGCAACCCAGCTAGCTGTCTAGCTAGCGGCCTAGCTAGCTGTCTAGCTAGCGGCCTAGCTAGTTGTCTAGCTAGCATCCTAGACAGTTGCATAGCTAGCTGTCTACCCAGTTGCCTGGGTAGTGTCTAGCCAATTGCTGCCTACCTACTGAATGAGCGTGGCACGCTTTGCCGTACCTCAGGGACATCAGGTAAAGACGTAACATTATCAATCGACTATATAGCGATGTTGACAGGGTAAAGTAATCAAAATGCTGTTTAGTCCGTTAGTTACTTTATTAATTAATTTATGGACACGTATATTGTTTGTCTATCAAACAAAAAATACAAAGATAAAGCGTGTTTTAGTATGTTAGTGGGGACTCGTGGCGTCATTTCTAATAATTGTACTAAAACATTTCAATCCAATGTAATATACCTATGTAACGTTTTGTTGTGAAAAAAGAAAAAAAAACATGTACAACACTTTTTGATTATGTTACTGATAAACGAAGGAAAAAAGTTAGTCATCATATTACCTATTCTCTTACGTCAACCCCTATCGCGATAGGAAGGTACTTTTTTATAAACATACTTTTTAACATAACCCCAAGGTAAGCACTTTAGGCTTGTGATATTGGATACTAGGATAACGTATAGAATACTTATACTGATACATTTGTTTTCTTTTTTATATAAATATACTTACATATACATATATAACATCCATGACTGGAGTACAAATGCTCGAATTTATCACACAAACGTCTGCCCCCACTGGGATTCCAACCCGGGACCTTTTGAGTAGGCAACACCTTGAAGCCCAGCGTACAAATCACTGGGCCATGGAGGTCGTCAAAATTTTATATTGATATTTGATGACTATCTGCAGTATTCAATGCATTTGATGTAGTGACTTTCTTAACTACATGTAGGGTTACGATTGCGCCACACATATATATATAGTAAACAAATATAGATATACTGACAAATTTATTAACTCCTCTTTTTAGAAGTGTGAAAAAGGCTAATCGGGAAGAGGTTTGTAGTTCAATGGCGGAAAGGTGAAGATTTAAAGAATACTTTGACATCTTGCACAAAAATCATGATTAA